AGCTCAGGGCCAGTCTTCCTCACCAAAAAAATATATATAGATATATAGAGAGAGGAACTAAAATACAGAAATGCTTAATTACAGTATATACCACTGCACACATATTTTGGATGTGAACAGCTATAAAAGTAACATTGATAAATCCTCACCTTTGTGTGATTTCTGGCTATTTGTAATCTGTTCTCAGTGTTATTATATTATCTGATCCAAACAAAGACTGTGTGTGAAAGTTAGGGAAGTTTTTTCTATTTTAGTGATGAGAAAAATGAAGTTCCAGCCCAAGTGATTTGTCCAGCTCCCCCTGACACTAAGACCCAAACATCAATTTTCTCACCCTGATTTCCATGCTCCCTCCCACGGCAGTTAGAGACTGATGAAGAGATCAGGTAGCGAATCAGTCAAAAAATTTTAAATGTGAGTGGAAGACATTGGGTTCTTTTGGAATGATGAGGAGATTATGAGGACTATGTAAAAAGAGTATAGGGTCACAAATATGCACAATCATTTTAGGAAGAAGTTACTTCACAATATCATAGGTCTTAAGGTTCAGATCTTGGACCCAGTAATTGCACTTCTCAGTCTAAGGAGATGATGGCGGGACCCCATGTTCACAGGTGTGTGTATCATCTCATTGATAAATGTTGAAACACTGGAAACAGCTTAAGTGCCCTACAATGGGGAAGTGAGGAATGTATGGTAGAACTTGCATGTGGAACCTTTTTATAACAGAAATTATGTAGCCATAAAAATAATGGTTTTAAGAAAAATGGATACTGTGTAAGATAAATATTGTTAAGTGGGTGACTCTCGTTAAAAAATGGTATATGCAATGAGATTTCCAATCTGACTAAAAATTCTAGGCATGACGGTCCAGCCTGTTCTTAACAGGCCCCAGCCCAGCTCTCCAGGGAGGAGAGTGAGCAAGAGAGACAGAAATTGGAGAGAAGCCAGAGGAGGTGGGATCCTGGGGGTGATCAGGCTGGCAGGTGAGGAAGCCCAGCAGAAACCCAGAGGGGCCAGGATGGGCTGAGTCACTGAGTCAAAGGTAGCAAGGAACAGCCCCCAAAACAAAGCCAGCTCCCAGCTCCTGAGCTGTCCACTGGTGTGAAGGCCCCCAGGGGAGTCACCCACTCAGAGGGAGGGAGACAGGAGCCCCAAGGCACAGTGGAGGACCACCCAGCACTGCCCAGCCCTCGGGGGCTCTCCCAGGCCACCCACTCCCCCAGGGACATTTCATGGGGATCCCTGTCAAATTGAAGAGCATCATTCACTGTGCTCGTCGGAGTCTCTTCCATCAATCCTATCTGTGGCTCTTTGTGATTCCGGTTTTCAATGGAAGGCCTGAGGGTGGGGGACACACACAGCCAATGGTCTGGAGTTGGGATTCCAATCCAAGGTCTCTGTGTCCAGGGCCCATGCTGAGACCTCCCTTAATTCAGTCAAAAGCTTCAGCTCAGAGAGCTTTGGAGGGCTGTCCTGTAGGCTGTTCGAGCCAGGGCTCTCTGAGGAGGGTCCTCGTCATCCCCGGGGGGTTGGAGGAAAATAGCAAAACCACAATTTCTACCTCTAGGTGAAGCCTGTCAGAAGTTAAGAATTCCTAGTTTCTAAGACATCATTGGTACCCTCAGTCAGCTGGCGTGGCCACAGTCAATGGTGACAGAGGCCGCCTTGCTATGCCCTCAGGCTCAGCAGGTTGCAGTGTTCTGTGCCCCATTTAAGTGGATTTTTCATTGATTTGTTTAGCTTTTACTAAAATAACACTTACAAAGGAGACAACTGGCTGTAAAAGATTCTGGCAGATAACACAAGCGATGCAAACAAATAAACCAAATACACGGTGGGGCTGACACCCTTCCTGCTCCAGAAGACTCTCTGTTTTAATCTCAGGGCGTGGCAGAAAACCCAATCAGATCCGATCATTTGAAAGAAAGAAGGGAAGGAAGGGAGAGAGGGAGGGGAGAAGGAGGAAGGAAGGAAGGGAGGGAGAAGAAAGGAAGGAAGGAGGGAGGGAGGGAGGGAATTAGTAAGAAGGATATTGAAGTATCTTATTCATATACCACAGTTATTAATAAGCCTCTTCCTAAATGTACTTTTGCCTTGAGATATTATTGCTTGGTCATATAAAGCATAATGATTAACAAAGCATTTAAATGCTACGAGTCCACCCAATTCTCCTCATCATTTTTTTCCTGTGATGTTTAAATCCATGAACTAGTCAAGCCAAGCTCTCCACAAAATTTACTCCACCTCATGATAAACGTCAAAGGGATTCCTGAGGTTTCTCACTTTATTAGCAACGGATAACACGCCTATGGGAACACTCGTTCTTCCTGCCACCTATATTTAATTGTAAATAAGTAAGTATACAAACACTGAGGGAGAACGCTTATATTTTATTGATAAGTGTGTTTGGTCCAAAAGGTTGGCCTGCGTTCCCTCAGGCCCTGCTGCTCTGCCCTGAGAAGGAAGTGGGCACATGACAAGTTCGGTTTATATGTACAAGACAAGACACCGCGAAGCTAGTAAACAACCCGATGAACCGAGAATGAATACAGAGACACACACAACATAACCAGTCTGGGCTTGACTGGCAATACCTCCTGTTATAATCCAAAAGAAATTATTTTCTTTTTCCTTTTCAAGTGACCTAGGCTGGCAAAACTACTCTCACAGGCTCCAGCTCCTCATGTCAGCAGGGACACTGTGATTCATGCCAGCCCAAGGTTCCCAGCTATCCAAATTACCAGCTTTCTGGCATAATATATGGACTTGTTTTCCAGACTTCAGAAGACAGTGACAACTGTTGTGTGTCACAGCCACATTCGAACCAGGTGCTTTAACCAGCTGTAGGCACTGTATACCCACGTCCTCAGAGAACTCCAAACCTGCCCTGATTCATGCCCTCAGAGGAGACGGCTTGGGGAACTCCCTGGGCTGTTGTCTGCCAACAACCCGTGGAGAAGAGGTGCCTTTTCCTGGAGCATAGCTGCCATTTAATTCCATGTCCCTCCAAAGTCATGACAATAATGTCACAGGCTATGTCACCACAGGCAAGAAGAACTTTTACCATTTTTTGACTGGCTTGTTCCAGGCATTTAACTATTATTGTTAATTCCTGAAATAACTGTGCAAACCATTCTAATTTTTCCACTTTAACATAAAAAACCTGAGGCTCACAAGAGTTGAGTGATTCATCCAAGGGCCTAGATATTGGGACTTGGATTTAGAACTGGCGGGGGCAAAGCTCACGCCCTTTCCACTGTAACACACCACTCCCAGGAGCTAGATGTATCTGTGGACGTGTCCTGCACATCGTTCATTCAGAAAATATGTGTGAAGCAACCACTAATGCTGAGTACTGTGCTACGTGCTGCTGGTGCAGAGGTGGGCAAAGAAGACACACTCACGGATCTCAACCTCAGGGGAGCAGATGACACACACGCAGGACAAGTCAGGAGAGGGGTCCTGAAGTAGACAGCAGGGTGCAGTGGGAGTAGAGGCGCAGAACTGAATTGATACGGGGATCCGGCACTGCCTGTCTGCGGAGATGGCGTCGTGTTGAGACTTGAAGGATGAGAGAGGAGACAGCCAGCCGTAACACCAAAAGATTTGGTGACTCTGCATTCTTTGGCTTTAGACAGCAGTTCATACCCATCATGGATCACATTAGGTTGCTCCTTGTTTGTCTGTGTATCCCGACTTGCTCTGCTCCAAGTTGATGGCTCATGGAATAAGGAGCATCGCCCACAAAGTCATAGGCACACTGAGAGAGCTTGACTCACTATCAGAAAACCTAGATCCAAGGGCCGAGCTGTCATTTATGAGCTGTGTGATTCGGGGTAAAGAAATTAGCCTATCTGAGCCTCAATCTTAATATAGGAATAATAGTGTTATAGAATTAGGGGGAATTAAATATATCCTACAGATAAAGCAGTTTGTAATACTGTAAGCCTTTTTTATGTTTTACTATCTTTTATGACCATTTATTCTGAACAAAAGTTGTAATGGCCGCGACCTCCTTGGGACCACACTGAGTTACGCACAAGCGGTTGCTTCTCCTCTAGTATCACTAACCCAGTGATGTGCCTTCAGCTCCCAGATGCATTCCAAAACACACCTGCAAGTTCAGGCTTTGACATTCTAAAAGTTGTGGTATTTTAATTCTTGTGGTTATTTAAAGTCTCTAATACTGTTTTAGACTTTAAGTGCCAACTACCAATTACAAACCTGATCGGACACTACTCCCATTTCTGGGTAATTTAGAGAAAGTGCTCCAAGATTCTTCCAGATCTTTTCATTTTAATTTGCAGCACTTGATTTTTATTTTAAATCTGCAGCACCTTCTATAGATCATAGCAACACAGAAATAAAACTCTGCTCTGGTTCACACACACAGCCAACCTCAAGGGCCCTGAACAAGGCTTGCCTTTGGTTCCGTTACACGACACAGCAACTTCCTCCTGGAGGAAAGGCCTAGTTCTGATCCTATTGGCCATATTCTAGGAAGAAACCACACTGAGTTGTTGATGTCATCCAGCTCAGTCCCAAGCGAGTGGAAAGCAGAATGAGGGGTTGGGAGGCTAGCCAGGAGTCGGCAGTGTTTGCATGACCTTCTGCACATCTTCTCCTTAGCCCAGCGTGGGGCCAGGGGCTGCTGAGCAGAAGGTCCATAGTGAACAGACAAGGGCACCTCCATGTGAGAAAATATAACCAGCCAACCATCTACTATTGAAAATTGTTTAGACATCTAATGATTCTGGATTAAAGACACAAAAGTTCTCAAATATAAAAACGCTTATTTTTCTGAATAGTCACCTGTCAGGTGAATTAAATTCTGTACTGGCTTACACTGTGCCTGACACCAGTCAGAACTTGAAAATAAATAAAAAGGCACAGTGTTTTCCATCACCCCCTCCCCTGCTGCCGTACCCACATCTCATCACTGAATGTCCAGTGGCAAAGCATAAATAATAAAAGTATGTTCAAGCATCTCTTGGTACCTCTTCTAATGTGGTGTCTGAAATCCTGTAGCCTGTCAGGTGCAGATGATGAAGGTTCTGATCCAAGGCCTGGAAGAGCCCTTTAAAGCAGGCTCTGTCTGCATCCTTGGGGATGGCATAGCTCAGCTCACACCCACTGCTGTCTTTGAGAAATGCTTGTGGGATGTAGGTCTGTATTAGAGACGTAGCACGAGCTATGTCCTTCGGATCATCAACCTCCAGAACAGAAGGCTATCCAAAAAAAAAAGTGAGGAAAGAGTAAGGAATGTAAGTCCACGCATATCAAATTTATAACAACTGATTTCACATACTTACATATGCAATTTATTGTGAAATTCTAATTCAAAGCAGCAAAATCAAGAAATACCATTTAAGTGACAGGCATTTCAAGGATACATTGTACTTTTTCCTTTTCAAATATAAACCTGTGGTGATAAACCTGGTGAGGAGAGACCTGCAAGTCCATCTCAGTTACTAGGCTATTGGGTTGGCCTCTAGGAGGTCTACAATCACGAGGGCGCCCCTAGTGCCCTGGGAGAATAGTGAAGGTGGCTCTGGCCCAGCAATTGGACTATAGGAGACAGAGTTGAGTCTTCTTAAAAGAGAGACAAGGATTCCCACCCATGGAGGAAAGGAGCCCCCTCAGAATGGCAAGATACTCTCCCTGAATTAGAGAGGACGCAAATGGGAAACTTGACTCCGGGGCCACCAAGGGTCAGACAGAGCCATCAAGAGTAAAGAGGTGACTTAGAGCCCGTACCCTTTAATCCCAACCCCAGAGCCACCCCTGCCCACCCCTAGCTGACACAATGCAATCATAATTACCAGTGTAACCTAGATGGGACCTCTGATAAATTTCACCTCTCGGGTCTATCGCTACTGTGCTTCTGTACTATGGTAAAGTTTTAGCCTCCTAAACAGAGTGTCACTGTCAGAAAAATACTTCAAGAACATCTGGATCATGATGTTCTTGATCTCAGGGCAGATCCCATTACCAATTAGGTGTTTCTGACCCTCATCTAATTCCTTCTGGCAGTCACAATGCACCTTGAGTTCACAGGGGCTAAGTGCCCCACTCAGCCCTGTGAGATTCATTTTGGCATCTGGGCTGTTGCCCACAGAGGCCTCCACTTAGATCACCAACTCCCTTTCCAGTCCACCCATAACACGGTAAGGCCCTTGTCTGGGGCCCTCCACGAAACTCTCCCTGCCATCTCTACCTCCTTCCCTGACCACCAGAAGCTCCCGCAGCCAGCCCCCTGCCTCGCCAGCCCCGATCCCGCTCCAGTACACCATAGTTATCATATTCCATTCTTTTCTTTCTCGAGTACTTCCTCTCCTCCAGGGGTACCGAGACCTAAGGACCTTGTGCAGAAATCATGTGTCCTTTTTTACAGCTTCCCCCAAGACCTACAGCAATGTAGGGCCCAGGCTAGATGCAGAAAAAATATTTGTTGAATTGATTTGAATCCAATGTGTAGAATGTTATTGTATAACCGTCACAATTTGTTTCCTATGACCCAAATAGGAAAGGCACTTCTCCAACATACTTATCGTTGTGTTTCTTACTTGTTTTGTGAGTGTCAGGCTGAGCCCCTGGCCGTAAGCTTCCTTCAGACAGAAGGGAGGACCACAGCACCGGAGCCACCCCTGCTGCAGGATGGCCACACAGTCACTGAGCGCTTCAGCCTCGTCCAGGTGGTGGGTTGTGAAGATGACCGTCCGACCTGTGTCCCAAGAAAGAGGGCATCAGAACTGGCATGGCAAAGGGCGCCATCCATCCCATCCTTCCAACGGGAGATCCGGGAGACAATTTAAAGATTATCATCAGTTTTTAAACTGGGAAAAATTAAAATGGGGCCTGGAGAAGTGACCTAGCCAAGGCCACTTCACAAATTAGAGGCCCTGAAATGCTTTCCTCTATGGTTTTCTCTTAGGAATATGACACTTTCTACAAATGCTCCATCTCCTCATGAACAAAAGGGGGCGCTCTGACATGCACTAAAGGTGAAACTGAGGCACAAAACACAAAGTCCCTGAGTCCAGCCACCCCGTTCTGTAAGTCCCAGAGGCAGATCACTGAATGGACATAAAGTGCCATAAAGATCACTGAATGGACTCCTCAGACGATAATCTCATGTGTACTTGAGGAGAAGGCTACATTCTATGGAAGTGGTTATTGCACAAGAAAACAATCAAACAAGTGCTGTGTTAAGGCAGAGGAAACGGCCGTGGTACCTGTCGATGCCCTTTGGAATCAGCGACGATGTAACCGCACGCACTCATTCACCACAGGTCATAGGAGCGGGGCACCTGCTCCTTCCCCGGAAAGGCTCACAGCAGCCATGGACCACAGAGCATGTGTTTTGGGAGGTGGGTGGGGGCAGCTGGGGGGAGGCAGACTTGAGCCAGCGGTCTTCCCAGGAAGAGAAGCGTCACTGAGCCCGGTGGATATGGCCCCTTTTTGCAGAAACGAATGTAAAGCTCATATTTGTCCTCTATGAATTCTAGCACCTTGTCAGGTTTTATCACCTTTACTTAGGCACAAAAAGCCTCAGATTTAGCTTAGGAGAACAGAGGCCAGAGACTCTAGGTGATATTTTCTTCAAGTTTACTTCAGTTATGTAAATGGAAGGTCTTACGACTTTCAGCTTCTACCCTCCTCACCGGCCTACATCGAGCTCAATTGCACCTGTTCTATTTTATTGAATAGAAATAAACACATTGATTGATTCTTATCTCAAATTTTCAAAGAGAGAAAGCTGAACAGGTTTTTAACTCTACTTGATTTTATATTTTTTAATAGGGAAGAAGGATGAAAAGACTAGGACTTACAATTCATTAAAAAAAAAAAAAAGATGCATCTAGAAAGAAACTATGAAATGTAGACCCAAGAGAAACAGGCCAGGGGGTCCACAGTGACCACTGACTGTCACCATAGACGGTTCCTGAAGACCAAGGCCAACCTCCTTGCGGCAAAGTCCTTCAGAACTAAGAAATGTGCTCAGTCCCTGATGGGGGATTAGGGGCAGCTTGGACAGTCTGATTAGTGCTATTTCAAAGTTCAGATGATATGTTCCCAGACAATGAAGTTGTCTAAAAATAAAAGTCAACTGGAATCTAAATTCCCAAGCAGTTTAGATAAGTTGACACATGTTTAATCCATGATGGCTTCTCAGTGGACAGTAAGGAGACTCAAGACACAGCACAAACCTCAAAGGACAGGTATTACTGTGTAAGACACTGCTTTACTGTTTCTTCCCTGACTCAAATGGTATGTTCTATCCCCTCTCCTCCAAATTTGGGACTTCCCAAATTCACCTTCTCTTGTCTATTTTAATAATAGTAATAATGATAACCTGTCATTGGTTGACAGATACTGAGATACGTACCAGATACTGAGCCATACACTTTAATATGTGTACATTTACTTCTCAAAAAAGCCTGAGATGGTATAATTGTCTCCATTTGCAAGTGGGAAAACTGAAGCCCAGAGAAATTGAATAATTTCTCCAGGGTCACACAGGAAGTGTTGAGCAGGAGTGTGAGCCAGTGCAGGAATTTGTTATGGACTAATTTGCTCTGGTGTCTTTTGCTACCTTGTTAACCTTCCAAGGGAGGCATGAGAGTACCAGTACCAGAGCCAACCAAGAGCTTAGCACTGCATGTCACAAAGCCATAAACACAAAGATAAAATTCCAGGTAGACGAGCCCCAAATGCACTGGTGTTCTGACAGAGGAATCCCTTTCCACTCAGCAGGGAACACTTGTTTTGTGCGGTCCTTACATCTATTTCACAAAGCTATGGTGCAGTTACCTGGAGGTTTGGGGCTGTTTCCAGAAACATCTCTACATTTTAATTCTTGAAATGTATTTTAGTTCCAGTACCACCTACCCCACCTGCTTATGTTCTTTTGATTTTGCACATCACTCAGTGCAGGGACTATTCCAATGGAGCCCTCCAAACACTAAAATCATTGCCAAACAACTGAGGATGGTGAGAAAATATTTAATTTATAATAACAGAATTTGAAGAAAGCTGTCTGTTTCTGAGATTTTTATTGTATCTGGCTTTCTCTCTAAAGTTATCATTATGTTCATGACTCAAATGTTCTGTCAGCTAATCCTTGAAGACTCCATTTTTTATATTTAAAATAAACAAGAAGAGCGGGCTTGTAGTATTTAATGCATACTGCAATTCACGTGTGCAGGGATGATGGAATCTATTTATTTGTCTACCTCTCATCTGTCTTCTTCACCAGCACGCACTCAGGGTGGCAGGGAAATTATTTAGTCCAGTTTAGTTTTATCTCAAAATTTTATTAGTTCCTTTATGTGGTATTCAGGTTCTTTTGCAAAGAAGGTTCATGGTTTCTCATTTCTGATCTTCCTACTTCTCTTCCCAGAGGGCGCCTAGGTAAGTGGAGAAAGGGAGGCTCTGTGATCTTGTCAAGGGGCAAGGGTTGGGATCTTCGGGTACAGTGTGGTCAGTGTCCCGTGGTCTCTAGGTGATGACCAAGACCTCCTGGTGCTGTCCTCTCAACCGAGACCCCCTGGTGCTGTGACCTCGACTTTTATAGCTTGGGCAGGGCCCCCGAAAGGATCAGGTCAGAGCACGGAGCGTTCCCTGCTCTCTCAGCCTCACCTCAGACCAGCTGGCCACCGGCCCCTAAGTCTCTGCCCTGGCTTCTGGCTCCCAGCCAGCTGCAAGGGGCCACCTCATCCCTGCATGGCAGCATCCCAAATAGGCCCCATCTCCCTCTCAGTGGCAAAGCCCATGGACCTATGAAAGTGCGAGACATTAGCTGTGGGTGCCTCCTCGGGCCCCAGCACTCTGCTCGGCTTCGTGAATTTTGATATGCCTGTACCAAGTCAGATGAGCCTGTGCAATTGACACAACCTTCTTTTTCTGGTGCAATTGCCCACCTCTGGCCAACTCCCCGAAAGGAACAGAAAGCCATATTCGCTCACTCCATTTTCCTGCTTCCCTCTCTGTTCTTCTCCTTCCACAATCTCCATAAATTACTAGGACAGAAAGGAACAAGATTGTCCTTTCATGTCTCCTTTGTGCCATCCTTTTCCTCTCTGATCCCAGCCGTATGACTAAGCTTTAAGTGACAGACAGGAGCATTTTTTCTACCCTAAGGCAAGAATTTGAGGACCTGAGTCTTCTGGGTACAGCCCTCTGAATGTGAAAGAAAGAGAGGGCTTCTTTCCGGTTCTTTCTCTTTGCCTTTCTTAGATAGCACAATCTAATCTCTCGCAGGGATGTGCAGGCTTCAGGTCAAGTCAGTCAAGTCAGAAGAAGGTTTTGTACTCAAAGGCAAAAGAGAAAAGAAAAACAAATTTTCAAGATTTTCTGTATAAACTCGGCCACTTACACTCCTGCCTTGTTTAGCAGTACCAGGATATGTTTCCCTGTTCTCGATGTTTCTTTCCAAATTAGGATGTTTCTATATGAAATACCTATAGCAATGCTTCCTAGTTGTCAGAAACACAGAAAGAATCAGAAGTTGGAAATTGGTGACTGCCCATCCAATGACCCAAATAGGAAATATACAATAATACAGGTGAGAAATACAGAAACCCATTTCCACCCACGGCTCAGTGAACTCCCTCTGTGGCTGTAAGCAAATCACACCCCTATCTCTTTGTGCCTCGGTTTCCTCACCTAAAAAAAGGAAGACTTGTCTATATTATCACTAGAATATCTCTTCTTAATAATCCATGATTCCAGAATGAAACACAATATGGATAAATATAATTTCAATTGAAATCATGTATAACATGCATTGATAACATCATTGCTAAGCTCAATTTAAGAGATCAAACACAAAGTAAGCAATTCCTAGCACTATAGAGATGTTATATAATAGATATACCTCTATAAGCTCTTGTGAAAATTTCTTTTTCTGAAAAGGATAATGTATGCTTATCAGGATATGACTTGGTTCTTCACATATGATAGCATTCCTTTCCTGCACCACAGTACAGTGGGAAGAGAAAGGAGAAAGATGTGCAGTTCCTACCTTCTCGGTACTTGAGGATAATGTCCCAGATGCTCCGACGGGAGCAGGGATCCACCCCACTGGTAGGCTCATCTAGAACCACGGTCCTTGATGTGCCGATGAAAGCTATGCCAATGGAGAGCTTCCTCTTCATGCCTCCAGAGAGAGCGTGGGTTTGCTTGTGCTGATGCTGCGTTAACTCCACATCGTGAAGAGTTCTGAAATAAGAAGAAAACCCTTACTCTTCCCCCGAGTGCCTTAAAGCTTTGCTTCAAATTTCACTCTATAAATAATGACTTGCAATGACCAAGATCTTTATAATCCACAGGTACATCAAGGTGACCTAGATGCCATGTGCGCACATGAGCATTGACTTTCTTAAGGTTCAGATGGAATCATGCCAATGGACCAAGTGTGACTTTCTTAAGGTTCAGATGGAATCATGCCAAGGGACCAAGTGTGATGCCTGGCCAGCAGGATCTGCCAAGTATTGTTTTTGGAAAATACTTATCTCCTCCCTGGAGAAGTATTACTCTTCATTTCCCTCATACCTCCCTCCAAGGGACCTACATTCCCTCCAGACACTACAGAGAATGGTGGAATGGCTGATGTGCTAGTGTGGTCAAAAGGAGCCAAGTAGAGGCCCAGCCCCACTGAATACCAGAGGGTGAGTCTGGAGAAGTCTTCTGACTCTCTGGCCCATGTGCACTGTTTGTATCAGCCCATCTTCCTGACTAAGTGGGAGGCCCCACGAAACACCACATGCAAAGTGTAAATTATCAGATGCCATCAATGTGAGAATAAGCCCTCCTATTCTCTCTCAGGGAGTCTCGAGAGTTCCAGATTTCAGATACTCAGCACAAAGAAAGCCTCCCTATGGGAAGCTTCACCTCTTTCTATGGGTTCACTCTTTTCTCGCAAATCACTTTTCACTCTCTGCCATGGTGCTCCTATTAACTCCACACAAATACTTACCCCTCTCATCACCTACTTAAATCTTACTCATTGTTAAAGACACACTTTAAGCAATACCTTCCTGAAACCTTTCCCTGAGCATTCAAACCAAAGTGGATTCCCTCCCCGCTGAACGGCAGGCATGTCTATAACTTCCTGATTGCCAAAAAGCTGTCAGAGAGAAGGAGGCTAGACAGGAGGAGAGGAATTATAAGAGCTCCACACAGTTGAGCTTCAAGAACTGTTGTGTCCTGGAAAGTTCTGGAATCCTAAGCAAAGACTTGGGTGAAATCCCAAGGACTTGCTTGCCTGATAACAAAGTAAATGTTTCAGTATTTACGTACTTCACATCCTGACCCAGAATGAGCTCACACTACCTTCTCAGTGTATAGTTTTCAGTCTATCCACCTTATGTTTAGTCCAAGTGTTACAGTGCATCTTCTGCTAGGTAAATCTCAACCTAAATGTATAACAGTAATTTATGCCCTGGGTTTTCAGGTGTTCCCATCCTTGACAACACCCTGGTTGGGAAGAGAAGGCAACTGCATTGACCCTTCATTCCCAATTATGCACAGCCACCAATACCTCCCCACCTGGGTGATTCCAATACAGCACAGGAGGGGAAACTCTTAAGCTCAACTTAGTCACATTAACCAGAGATCCATAGGCTAAGAAAACAAACAGAAAATCAAATCCATAAGATGTTAGATGCTCTCAAACATGCTTATCCTAATAACATTTTTATGTTAAACCCAAAACCCCTCCATTCTCTGTTTATCTTGACCTCAACCCAATCTTGTCCACTCACACCCAAGCTATATCCTGGACCTTGTTATTCCCAATAACCACAACCTCTCCAAGGCCTCAATTCCAGGCATTCTTTTCTGACTACCATATCTTTTTCCCCAGCTAATCCTTGCCTCCAGCAATTACTCAAACCCACAAAACTCAATTTTCCACTATCCCTCACTCACACGAGGCCCTCCCTCCCTTCCTCTCTGAGAGCAAAGTCCACAGCTCTGTTCTGCCTCCTACTGTCTCAAGTGAGCCATCTGTACTCTCAGGAGAGTCAGTCCCTCCCCTCTCCACAGATCCCTTCCCCTGCCGTGCAAGGACAGCACACCAGCAAGGCACCCTTCTCTCTATTTGCCTCAATTGCTTGCTCTACATCTGAATCATCCTTCTCTTGACATCATTTTTCCATCTGGATACTGTCCCATCTCTTTGCTCCTTTTTGCAGCAAAATTCCTGGGAAGAAGTGCTGTTCCCAAATCCTCTCCTTTCATTCTCTCTTTAACTGACTCCAATAAGACCTTCCTTCCCATTGTGCTATTAAAATTGCTCTTATCAAGGTTACCAAGGACCTCCAAATACTAAATCCAAAGGTCGTTTCTCAGTCTTCATCTTACTTGACGTTCAACAGCATCTAATGCACTGAACCACTCCCTCCTCTTTAATGGACTTGTTTTCCTCCTTCCCCACTGGTCTCTCCTTCTCCTCATCCTCTGGCTTGTCTCTCCACATCTCTCCATCCTCTTCACGTTGCAGTGTCTACAGCTCAATTCTTTGTCTTCTTCTCTTGTCTACCTGCATCTACGCCCTCGATGATCTCATCATTATCATACAAATATGCCTCCAACTTGAGTTCCATGGCATATGCCAGAATTCTAAGTGTTAATGCTAAGTATGTAACAACATCTCATTGACTTCAAGGCCTGATAAAGCTCCCCTCTTGACTTCTCTTATCTTCTCTAGGCCAAATTAAGGGCAAAATAGTAATGTCCCAACTCTTGACAAATGTTCACTCTAAAGATTCTACCAGGGATCCTATCTCCCTTGAACTCACATTTCAATGAAGCTACTCATTAAGGAAACCAAGTGATGCTACTGGAGCCTAACACGGAGCGTGTTGGCCCTAAATCAGATGTTTTCAGTTTTCGCTCCCTCTAATTGAGAACTGCTGTCCTAAAACATGATCTCATTCCGATTGCTTTCGTGCAAATTGGCTTCGTTGCTAGGTAACATGCAGCGAAGCGATAACTATAAAGGTTGCCTGCACCCAAATAAGAAGATGGATCCCACGCAGCATTGTTAGGAACTTGATTTAAGCCCAGTCACAACCACAATCAAGTCTGCTGTGGTCCAGCGAAGATGCATTTTTTAAATTAAAATAGGTGACCTGTGACTTTTTTTAAAGAATTTAGGTTGTACATAACCAATTTGCTTTTTAGTAACGCGTGGCCACTTCTCACTAAGTACCCTCTCAAGTTTAAGATAGGCTTAAATAGTACAAAGTAAACATTCTCCCTATATATTTGAGTCTCCACTGTCTCTAGCGTGATTATTACTACCAGCCATGTCTGAAGACATGGTGAGATGTGAGCCAGCCTTGCAGTGGAAAATATCCTCAGATGCCCACTTAACCTGCCAACAATGTGAACTTTGAGAGAGAGAAAAAGGAAGAAATCACCATTAAAATAAAATGTGTGGCACCCTCCATGATTTTATGAGGTTTACGTCCCTTGAGGTTTTGTTCCATCAGTTCAGAATTAATTCTCATATGAATCTCGGAGTGTGAGCATCTATCCAGAGAGAGATTTGATTTGTTCCATACCCATTTGTCATATAGCTGGTCCCCAAACACAGCCACCCATTTCAAGTTGAGATCATCCATAGAAGTACTGGTCTTCCCCAGGTGTGGGAAAATAAAACTGCAGCATGGTGCTGCGTCCTGGAGAAGCAGTACATCCTTTTCCAACACCGCTCTCGGCAAGATTTGCAGGGTAACTCACAGCGCGGATTTTTACCTGATGGTCTGCCTTCAGATCTGCTTTCAGATCCCCTGAGCAATATGTGCCTTCACCATATTCTGGGTTTGTGGTCTTGTTTCATTCTGGTTTTTATATCCAACAAGAGAACTTCAGCAATACTGGCTAACTTTGGCCCTCTGGGATCTCGTGTGTGCAACTCTACCCATCTTCACCTGAAGATGAACTTGTTCAGGCAAGATCCCCTCAGGAACTGCTGCTCCAGATGTGGCTCCATGATGAGCCAGGACTCCTTCAGTCCACATTCTTCCTGCCGGCCCACCTGCCCACCCACCTCCCTGCCTCCCTGCCCGACATGGCCCTGAGAGGGTATTTTTAAGCCATTGTCACCTGCACTCACTGCCTTCACCCCTCCTCAGATCCTTGGAATCCCATAATGAATGGCTGAGCTGCAGTTGGGGCAACAACACTACAAATGTGCCAGAGGACCTCCGCCCTCCTCCCAGCAAGTCTCCTCTTCCCAGAGGCCTGCATCCCTGGATTCTGCAGCCCAGCAACCAGCCCAAGGGAGAGGCGACGAGTGCACCTGTGTCCCAGTCCCAGATCAAATCCTGGCTTCCCTGCACAAGCTGCGGGGCCCCCTCTCCCCGAGCCTCAGCCCCCCCATCTGGAATCCAAGGCCCTCCCCGTCCAGCAGGAGACACTGCATATGTAAGGTGCCTGGCACGCAGCCACATCAGTGCCCAGGAGAGAAAAGACGTTAAACTCAAGTCCCCATTTTTACCACAGGGGCAGCCCACAGCACTGTGACAGGAGCTTTGCCCAACAGCTGGGACCTGGCATCAGATACCTCCAGGCCCCTCAAACTCACGTCTCTAAGACCAACTCAGAGAATTTCCTTCTCCTTCCACTTCCCAAATTGACTCTCTCTCTCTGTCGAGAAATGATGCCACATTCCACCTGCCTGAGCCAGGAAACATTATGGATTCTCCCTTTTCTCTCCTTTCTCTTTGGTCAGCACCTCTCCTGCCACCTCACCCTCTGGGGACCCTTCTGGCCTCATCTGTTCTTAGAGTGGGAGCCCCCCTAACTCGCCCTCCGCACCCTGGCAAGCCCCACCCACGCCACCCTACACCTACCTCATGACAGCCTCTGACCAGATAATTGGGTGGCCACTTTGCCAGGTCAACTGTTTTCTGAGCCCCCATGTCCACAAACTGTCTGCAGGACGAAATCTAAAATACCGCACAGCTTACGAAGCCCCATGCTGTGGTCCAGCTTTCTCCTGAGCCTTTTCTCCCAGCATGCCCAGCCTGCCCCGCGAGGTCTGTGGACCCTCTGTGCCTGCACACGCTGTTGGTTCTCCCACCAGCCCCAGCCCACCCCACATAACTCCGGAAAGCTCCACTCACCTGGTGGCTCTCTGCTCAAGCATTACCTCCACCATTGCCCCTCACCTTCCCCCAAGGACACTGAGTCCTCGCTGTCCTGTGGCCACTACGCCTGCTTCACACACGCCCCAGAGAAGCTTATCCTATTTTCAGTGTTGACACGTGTCTTCTGTCTGAGATGCAGGGACTGCCGCATCCTCGCTCCCCAGAGCCCAACTTCATATTGTTTGTTATGCGCTGAATTGTGTCCCCTCCCAAATTCATATTTTGAAGCCCTAACCCCCAAGATCTCAGAACGTGACTGTATTTGGAGACAGGGTCCTTCAAGGGGTCATTAAGGTTAAATGAGTTCATTAGGGTGAGCCTAATCCAATAGGACTTGTGCCTTTACAAGAAGAGGAAACTCAGACACTTTTATATGCAGAACGAAGACCATGTGAGGACACAGGGAGAAGACGGCCATCTGCACACCAAGGAGAGAGACCTTGTCAGAAACCAACTCTGCCAATGCCTTGATCTTGGACTTCCAGCCTCCAGGATTGTAAGGAAATAAATCTCGGTTGTTTAAACCCTCCAGTCTGTGGTACTTTGTTGCAGCAGCCCTAGCAGACTAATACAGGGTTGAATATTGGTTGAATTAACAAAATGTGTGGAGTAAATGAATGAATGAATGAGGATTAGCAGGATGTAAGAGTTGAAAGTTAGGATGAAGAAAGATGGTGCAGTTCTTTGCATAACCAAACTAAAGTATGAACATCATTCCACAGGAAATGAGATGACATGGAGGAGTTTTTAGTAGAAAAACAGCATCATTCATTCACTTGGCTATTCAATTCAAAGAGCATATATTATACTGCAATGAGTCAAACAGACAAACTTCCTATACTTGGGGATTTGCAATCTGGTGGAGAGAAACTGAAGACAAATGCTATGGGATGTCATGTGGTGATAAACGTTATGAGAAAAAGTGAGTCAGAGTAAGAGAAAAGAGAGGTCTTGCGAAGAGTGGAGTGAGCAGAGGCATTTTAGGATGCTCAGGAAATCCTCTCTGATAAGATGCTGTCTGAGGAGAGACCTGGGGCTGTGAGTCAGGCTGCACCATGCAAAGAACGCATAAGAGCAATCCAGGCAGAGGGAGTGGCAAGTACAAAGGTCCTGAGGCCAAGACACACTGTTTAGTGTGTTCAGGGAGCAGCAGCAAGGCCAGTGTGACTGGCAGTGAGATGAAGGATGAGAGAGCAGGAGAGGTTGGCAGGCCTTATAGATGTCTTATCACGTATCATCCGAAGCAGGCGAGTTTCGAGATGGAAGGGGGTACTAATACTGAATCTGGGACAAAAGGCATACAGCTGGATGGTCATGGGCACACAAGGACATCAGCCATGCTATAATAGGCCACTGCAGACTTGACGTTTTCTTCCAAGTGAGACGGGATGTCCTTGAAGGCTGCTGGGCAGAGAATTGACAGGATCTGGATACACTGCTAAAGGAGCCCCGGCCCCCATATAGAGACTAGCCTGGGGGGCACAGGAAGGAGGTGGGAGCACAGGCTGAAAGCAGCTACTGCAACGATCCAGGGGAGACCCCATGGTGGGTTGAGGAGGAAGATTAGCTTTGCAGAGGTGAGCAGAACCTCTCTGAGGAATGAAGCGGGAGGCCCGGCTAGAGCCCTGGCATCTCTGTGGAAGGGGCTGGGGAAGGTGTGACCTGGTTGGTGGCCACAGAAATCAAAGCAAAGGGAGATGGAGAGGCAGCACAAAAGGCAGGATGACATGACTAGTCATCATTTCAAATGCTTCACTCCGTTTCCAATAACATCACCAAGGTACAGAAACTATGGAATGATTCTAAGACTCATTCCTCTTTTGCCCATTGTTACAGGGCTGGATGCATCAAGGTCAAATTCCATCAAGGTAGAAGCATGTATTTTTATATTTCACGTGGAAGAAACAAGGTCACACAGAACCAAACACCACCCAAACCCCACATGCATTCACCATTACTACTTGCAGACCGGAAATCCTCATGTTAAAAAATAAAGCTTGCAAAAATATTTTAAGATAACGATAAGCAGTAATGTGTAAGGGTTCATTAGATTCCCATTTTCTTCTGAGATATGTGCAGTTAATTAGCATTTATGCTTACACACTGCCCTCAAAGCAGCTCCTTCCTCCTGCATGTCAGGCCCCCCTGATGTTCTGCTTTGCAAAGTCAGCCGAATTGAGAACGCGGAGGATATAGCACTCCCCTCAAGGGCCCAGAGCCACACCCCCTCAGTGGGGAGCAGAGCCCAGCACAGGCAGGACAGCCTTCACACCCAACTGCCATTCTTTTCCGGATCGATGGCTCCACTGCTGCATTCACGCTTCCACCCCAGCTACTGTCCTTCCCCTCCAGCCCATCCTTCCAAGCCCGTCTCCCTGAATCGCCACTTTGTTTCCCGACCAGGGACCTCGCTTTCTGCCTTCTCCCTCTGGTGTCAGCTTCCAGTCCCCATTGAGATGGGAGAATCTTCCTTTGTGGTCTCTCCCGGCCACCCCACCCCTGTCCGCCTCTCCCCATACACATGTTCTCTGCTCTGGTCCTCAGGCTGTTCCACAGTGAAGTGCATTTGGTCCTCCACCTGGGCTCCTTCTCTCCCTACCCTGGACATCTAGTTGGTCAACATGGTCGGTTCCTTCCAGCTCTGAATAGTCTTCAGATCTGGGCCTTCCTCTCCACCCCACTGGCTCAGCCATAAATCAAGCTCCCATCACCTCTTGCTCCCAGGGGCCCCTCTGTCTCCTGTCTCCCCCATGGCTCTGCTGTCTGCTCCAGTGTCACAAGATAAATCTCCCAGATCTCAGGCTGATCAGCATCTCCTGCCCGTGATCACCTACTTGCATGATAAAGTTTGAACTCCTCAGCATGACTAATTGGTTTCTCCACGACCAGTTCCCCTTTCTCCCTCTCCGTTCTTTTCATTTCAAGACACTCACATGAACCCATCTCCAGACCCAAAACTCCCACCCACAGCCTGTGCCACACTCTCCCATCCAGCCCCACCTCATGGACAAATCAAATCAAATCAAGTTCCATGTCTTCCCCGAGAGGTCTTCTCTGCTATTCCCAGGGTTGGTGGCTGTGTCATAGTTCCACAGTTAAGAACTATTAGCTAATTTTTTCTTCTGATAAATATAGACACCAGAGATTTTTGTAAAGCGTCTCTTTCTATACCGTTCTCTAACTCACACAGGGCAGAGGGTAGGAGGAGGGAACAGATGACTATTACTAACTTATGGACTTGCTGGTGCAGCTCCTTCTTGGTCCACTGTGGTGCCTTTATGGAAGCAAAGAGCAGCAGGTGTTCCAGAACAGTGAGGTTGTCAAATAGGACGTTCTGCTGAGGACACACCCCCAGCTCCCTTCTGACCGTGGACAAGTCTGTCTGCAGGTTCTTGCCGTTGATGATGATGGTTCCAGAAGTGGGAGGGTAGAGTCCCGTCAACAAGGATCTGCCAGAGAAAATAAATCAGCAGGGAGAGCACAGGCTGCTGCTGCCCTGAACGCCCAACAGTCAGCTCCGTGCAATGTGTGCATCCTGTGATGAGCCACACCTTCTGCCGCCCTGTTTCCTACACAATCAGTTAAAAGTTGGAAGGAGCTTAGTGGGATGTTGGCTGGCTTAATCTTAGAAAGGTGGGATTAGGATAATGTTTACACGCCCTATGCTATGCGGTGGTCACAGACCATTATAGTTGCATGGGAGTTTAAGATTATAAATCCAACTTTGTTTTTATAGATGAGGAAACAGGCTAGAGAAACGGTGTATTGACCTAAGTCCTTATAATTACACATAAGCCAAGAGAAACACACACCTCAACTCCCAGCTCTGGCCAGGTCTTCCTCCCGCTACGCCCGCGCTCTCTGTCCCCGTCAATACCACAACCACTCGAGCGTCTCCAGAAACTCACTTGTCTGCCTCAACCAAAGGAAGCCTGAGGATTGCCTCGTGGTGCTGCCTTGTCGCAGGAAGTTTATTATTTACGTCTTAGACTGTTTTCTCATTTCTAAAAAGTTAAACATTCACCTATCACAGTACCTAGGAAATCACTCCTAAGTACTTACAGAAAGACATTAAAATGTGTGTCCACACAAAGCTGTCTACACGGATGTTCATGGCAGCTTTGTTCATAATCGTCAAAAACTGGAAACAACCTCGATTACCACCAACAGGTGAAAAGACAGACAGTGGCGCTTTCGCAGAGCGAAATGCTAAGGGCAACAGCCGATATGGCACCACGCAGGGGAATCTCCAAGCATCGTGCTGTGTGCAAGAAGCCACACACAATTCCATTTATATGAAATTCTAGACAATGCAAATTACTTTACAGTGACAAATCTCAAATCTGGGTCCCTTGTGGGCTGGGGTCGAGGAGGGCACAGGAAACCTTGGAGGGGGTGGAATATTCTGCATCTCCACCCTGGTGCTTTGTTCCAGCTTTAGCCACACCTGTGTCGGGGCTCCTCACACTGTACACTGAAACAGACACTGTTTCTTGCACATAAACTACACCTCAATAAACTCAATTAACAATTGTCGTCTATATTGTTTTCAAACCTCTTTTAGGGAGCATATGGAAGAGGGTATACACATTCATATGTGTCTCAGAGCTTTTTGTTTTAAATAGTGATGACTAGCTCGTTAATTGGAGTCTCAGCCTGTCATCTGAGAACTGCCAGGAAGAGACAACCCGTAGGACAACTCAAGATGTACTTCAAACACACACCTGCAGGCGATGCAGTCAGCAAACCTCGAAACATCGAGAAACTCCAAATTTAATTCTCATCGTTATGCTAAACACGAACGCCAGGTTTTCCTTGTAAGAAATGTGCATTAGTAAAAGCACATGTGGAATGCTGCTTTCTGAGTCATTATTTGTGCAATGTTTACTTTCCCAATCTGAAAACACTAGAAAAATACTCAGCAGGATTTCAGCTTCCAAGCAAAGAAAACTTTCCATTTTTTTCTTTCAATTTGCTTTCTATGTGAGATTTCTGAAGCTTTACGTATGTTATTTTCTTAGTAAGGTTGAAGCAAATAATACTTTTTATTGTTTTAACTAAGCATGCTTTAATCCTACTAAAAACGAACAAAAAGAAAGTGACCTGTTCAAAAGAGAAATTAAATAATTTTGGTGGTTTAGCCTTAAACAAGCCCCATTTCCACAGCCAGCTCAGGGCTGTTTTGTGGTTACAAATGTTTGAGCTCGTTAGTTCTCTAGGATCACATGATTTGATTCTTGAATCAAATCTGGAGCCACTGGATCCCAGACCAAAAATCAAGGTTTCACAAAAACACAACCTCACAAAAAGCAGAACACGAAAAAAAAATAGACAGGTGTTTAAAAAATTGGCAAACACCATTCCGAATTTCATCTTCCTATAGATATGCAAGCAAAATTAAACTTTGTAGGAGAAAACTGAAAAGTGACAGAGGACTTTCAAAGACTAAAGTAAAAACAAGGTGAATTATTTGCAGGAAATAAAAGAATTAAAGATTTTTTTAAAAGTCCACCCCCCCGCTTTGAGTCTGCTCAAGACCTACAATGTAACTGTCGGGTGAGGGTGCACGGCAGCTCTGGAGCGAGGGCTCTCTTTCCTCTACGCCTCCAAACTCTGTACTGAGTCTCCAAACAGAAAAAGAAGAAAAGAAACCCAGCTCCTGTGTCACAGGTAAACTGACATTGTGAAGAATCAAAATGCGTTTCATGGAGGTGAGATGGGACTCACATGACGGTGGTTTTCCCGGCGCCATTGGTCCCCAGCAGGGCAGTGATCTGGCCTCTGTGGAAGGTGAGGGTCAGGTCTTGGACGGCCGCCTTGTGGTGCTCATACTCCTTGGTCACAGACACCAGGGTGACGCCCGGGGAGCCTCCTTCCAGCTCTCCTTCCTTGTTATGCGGCGATGACCCTGAGAGGAAGACGCAAATTCGCCCTGAGAGGACTTCATGAGCCCCAACATCATGCTCACACTTGATAATTCAGTGGGCTGCCCTGTGCTTGAATGCCAGCTTTGTGAAACACACAAAGCAATTCTAAATCTTTCTCTACCAAAATCAAGAGGCAAATTATATAATGGCAAAAATGAAGTGAAATAGCTGATTACAAACTTTTGTACCCTTATGTTATCCATTTTGTAAGAAAATAAAAATGAACACACAGACAGGAACACACACACACACGTGTGTTTATACATATGCAGAGGGAAAGTAACAGGCAGGTTAGTTGCACGCTAAAATGTCCATGAGCGACAGTCCCCCACAGAGGTGAGAGTTAATATGTGCCTGCTGTGCTCCAAATTTTCTAAAAAGATTCATATTTTACTTGTGTAATCAGAAAAAAATATTACTTTACAATATTGACTTACGGTACAAAGCTCTCGTGATGGGATCTTGTTTATCTACAGATTCCCTCCAAGGCCATGCTCCGGAGAAGTGCCCGGGAAGGGCCACGACTGGAGCGCAGGGACGGCCGGGCCTGCCCTGTTCTGGGAAGGCGCTCCTCACTGGGAAGGGGCAGTCATATTCTCTCTCACAGAGGCCTGGGATAAGCTGGCACGTGAGAAACATTTGGAAAAGCCTAACGCGCACGACACCTGGTAGCTGTTCACCTTCGCTTTTATTTTGTACACCACTTCATGTTAGAACTGGAGCTTCATTTTACTGAATTATAATATAGACACAAAGGCACACGATGCATAGGGGGTACCGTAAACAACAGGTAAGATTAAGACTCTGGGGCTCCTGGGCCCACGCAAGGTAAACATCACGCGGAGATTCTTTCTTGCAATGTGGCCCTGTTGCCATGTTTATGAGCCCAAGATGGCCTGAGAGTGGGCCCTGGGGAATGGTGCACACACAGTTACAAAGGCTCCAACAGAAATGAAAAACAAAAACAAAACTGACCCGACAGAAAAACATGTATTCAACAGTGCTTCTCTTCACAAACCTTTACTGTTAGCAAATTGCCTTTTCTGCAACAAACCACACACGTTCTTCCAATAGGACGCAGTAAAGGGGAAATACCATGGTTTCCTTAAACCGAAAGCTCCTAAAAAACAAGATAAAATTAAAATCAGTTCAATTATTTTTTCTATTTAGAAGAAGATTCTGTAATAGACTATCTCAACTAATCAATATAAAATGTTATTCCATGTTCACATGTTCAATACACATCCCATGTATGAACCAGTGACAAACTGGGGGACGGAGCATTAACCTTGCAGAGGGCCCTCGTGCTCCCTCCTCAGCCCGACCCAGGGTCATCTACCCACTTCCCTCAAGAGGGCTTCTGAGCAGGTGTTCAAGAAACAGGCAAGTATTTGTTAATCATAAAAGTAGAGTTGAATAATTGCTGAACATTCCCCACGGTAAAGCCTTGCCCCTGCTCCACTGCCCTGTCATTTAGCTGTCGCTCTGCTTTTGTCTGTCATCGATGTTTGCATGGATTAATAGACATGGATTAAAAGCATGAAGGAATTATTCAATTAAAACTCCTGCAAAGAAGAGTAATTCATAATACTAACATTTCCATATGAAACATACCAACATACTTCAAACGTATCTCCAAATTCATTTCAGTCCACTTAATAGTCACTTTGCCCTCATTATATGTCAAAATGAAAGTGGATTTAATTATTAACACTTCTCCATTTTCTTTTTTTTTTTCTTTTTCTTTTTTTTGTGAGGAGATCAGCCCTGGGCTAACATCTGCCAAGCCTCCTCTTTTTTTGCCAAGGAAGACTGGCCCTGGGCTAGCATCCATGCCCATCTTCCTCCACTTTATATGGGACGCTGCCACAGCATGGCTTCCAAGCAGTGCGTCAGGTGCGCGCCCTGGATCCGAACCGGCAAACCCTGGGCGGCCGCAGCGGAGTGCGCGCACTTAACCGCTTGTGCCACCGGGCTGGCACCACTTCTCCATTTTCTTGAACACAGCCATTCTAGCCTAAGTTTGATGGGTGGTCTCAATTCTGCAAGTGATTGAAGAGAGAAAGGCTGACACGAAGACTATTTTAGCACCTTGCCCATCTAGCAAAGGAGAGAAATGCAACCCCTCACTCGTTCTAACCAGAAGACTGAAACAGATGATCAGTAAGGAAAACATGTGGGCCTATCACCTTTTGAAAGTGAAAGGAGGTGTTGAGCTGGTATCCTGTCTAGTATTTAGCATTTGTTATGGGTTGAAGCATGCCCTAAAAATTCATATGTTTAAGTCCTACCCCCCAGTAACTCAGAATGTGACTATTTGGCGGAAGAGTCTTTCAAGAGGCAATTAAGGTAAAATTAGGTCCTCGGGGTGGGCCCTAATCCAATTTGATTTGTGTCCTTATGAGAAAAGATGAGAACACAGACACACACAGCGGGAAGACCATGTGAGGACACAAGGAGACGTCCAGCCGTTCACAAGCAAAGGAGGGAGGCCTCAGGAGAAACCAGCCCTGCCAACACCTTTATCTTGGATTTCTGGCGTCCAGAGCTGTGAGAGAATACATTTCTGTTGTTTAAGCCATGCAGTCTGTGTACTTGTTATGGCAGCCCTAGAATACTAATGCAGGCAGGGTGTTCTCCAAGACTCTAGCAACTAATAATTATCTCAAAGTAGGAAGAGGATGAGCAGCACATGGATGATTGCCTCATATCACAGCCAGCATTCCACATGCTCTCTCTTCCAGGCACTGCCCAGGGTCTTTACTTGTATTAATTCATATGGTCCTGCGACCACCCAATGTGAGGGTGCTATTATCACCTCTTCCTTCCCAGTGGGAAAGGGGGGTCCAGCAAGGCTTGTCCAAGGACACAAGACTGGTGAGCTGCATAAGCCATGCAATTAACCACCAGCTGGCCTCTCTCACCAGCTGGTCTATCTGAACACATGCACGCAACAGCAAGGATACCTTCAGTTGCCATTTCAAACAAGCAAGGAGAACTGCCTCAGCTCCTACACCCCACGTTCTTCAACTACCTAGTGGGAATAACAGGATAAGCCCCTGTACACATGCATGAATGATGAGTTTGTGGAAATAAAGGGAAATAAGTAAACAAATACGTCAGCAAAACTATCCTGCAAATGCTGGTGGCTGCTTTGCTCTCCCTCTGGATCATCAAGCAGCAGTTTTCTGCTAAGAGACCTTGCTTGGGTGACCATGCTGCATCACTGCCATTGACAGTGTGAGTGAGCACCACCTGTTGGGAGGGCAAGTCGGTGGTGGGATTCAAATGCCTTAGGGTGTTATAGATGTTGAATTAGCAGAGGTGTAGGGGGCACCTAGAGGCCTGGGAAGGAGTCCCAAGGACACTGAAGGGTCCAGATGAAGTACAATGGGGCCTGATGTAGGGGCATGGCTGCAGGGATGGAACAGAGGGGAGAGAGAGGAGAGACCTTTTAGAGTTAGAAAAGAGAAACTGGAAATAAATTGAATATTAATGGTTGATTTGCTAATTAAACCATCCCAGCTCTAATCTCTCTGGACTTTTAAAATCCTCCTAATTAATCCATTAATCTAAATGAATGGGGAGCTGCCAAGTCCGAGTTGGCACGGAGGCCTCTCAGCTCCCCAGCTTTCTTCTGCCGTTTGCTTTGCTTATAAATTCAAACTTGTTTTATGTGCACATTCTAAAAGCACATGCATCCTGCTCACACTACCAAATGTAATTGGGCACATGAATATGTGCAAAGGCCCTCAGCTTATATTGAGCTTTTCTCCTCAAGGGGAACTGCCTGCTGGCTTAGGCAGGCCACGAAACTAATTAGCATTGTCCCCCAAAACTGACAGTGATAAAAGAAGAAGTCAATGAGATTAGACAGATCAAGTGGAATCAAACTTAATTGGAAGCATATAAAGAAGAGTTTATGCAAGGAAAGCTCTTTGAGAGGACCAGATGTTTGCTTTTGAGCTCTTGAGTGAGCATGGAGACCCGCAGTTGACACCGAACACTGCAGGCCAGGAAATGATGTGATGCTGCATCTGTGCAGTCTCTTTATCAGATGTCGGGGTTGAGAAATGTTGGGGTCAGTACCCATAGAGTCGCTTTATTAAAAAAAAAACAGACAGAAGAAAATGGAGCGAAAATCATTTGTGAGTGGGGTGTGCATATGTATTTGTGTGTTCGTGTGTGTGAGAGAGATAGAAAGTTCTCACCCACCCCCCACCTCATGAGATCCTCCTACCCATAGGAGACTTTTGAGTGATTCTCAATTTGCTAAAACTCTCCCAGGGTGTTTTGGAATATGAGAAGGGGTACTTTTGGTTGACACAGTGAATAGGCGTTTTAAAACGTAGGTTTTGTTATTATTCAGGCATGGTGAGGCCAACAGATCAGGAGATGACTGCCACTAAAAAGATAGTTTGGTGGTCACAGTTTCCAAGAGGAGGGGGCATGCCATGCTATGCAGGGCCACATGGGGAAGCACCAGCATTGGTCAGGAGGCAGAGGGAGGGAGGGGGAAGCATGGGCAAGAGCCATTACTGTGGTTTCCATGAGAAAGAATAGGCGAGGAAGGGCAAGAAGGCTTAGGATTGGCCAGTTTGAATAATTTCAGCAGGATCTAGGTTATAGAGGCTTTCCATAATTGTCTGGTACCTGTCCCTGGGGTGACTAGGGCAAGGGGATAGTGGCCCAGAATGTGAGAGCCCTGAGAGAAGAAGGGGTTGGGACGTGGGCTCTGGATTGGTTGGTTTGCACATGAAAGGCATGATCACAGGCAAATCATCTCTATGTGTAGTAATTGGCAGTCCTTTGAGGGTCAGTAAGATCCTGAGATGTCAAAGTATCAGAAATACAGAAAACAAAAAGACATCATTAATAAATGGGGATGACACAAATCACCTCTAGTTGATAAGCGCTGGGATGGTAGGTGTCCTACAAAGACGGAGACCAGCCCAGCCCAACAAAGAATTGTCCTTGGCTTGCATTCTGTGATGCTCATCAGACACATTCATAAAAATGAAAAGCCCTTTATAGTTATTCAAGCCTAGGACATATAAACCCAAAGTTTCTGTGCAGTTTTAATACGCACTGAATTTTCCAGGAATGCAGCCACCTTGTAAACCAGTGGAAGATTATTGTTTGATGTGGAAGTTGGAGTTGTTCATCATTTCAGAAAACCACCTCATCAATGTGATGCCGACTCATTGTTTCTGAGTTTGCAATGCAGCACAGCTGTACAGTCTATGTCGCCCGTACCATGCGAATATCTGACAAAAGACTGGAGATTGCTTCTAACAAACTTAGAACCAAATATTTTTAAATTCACAGATTTTCATGAAATGCACTAAGTGTTTTTAATGATGGTTTTTTGAAAACTATTTCATGTTATTGTCATTCTATGCATATTTTTTAAAATTTTAGAGCAAAGTAACAAGAAATCCATTTTGTAAAAATTGCACATTGAAATGTTTAATATGAAGGTTTCCTGTTATTTTTCAACCTTATTCTGATGCTGTTCCCAGGAATGTACCCCTTGGCTTCTCTGTAAGCCCTCTAATATTACTGTTCTTTGTCCAATCGATCCTCCTTCTGTCACCAGCTGAAGAATATGATAACCAAAGTCTTTAAAAAACTGGAGACCAAATGTAGCCACTGACATGGAGTGGAATGATGAGACACATGTATCTTCCGTCACACCATCATTACTCACCCCATCCGATAACACAGGCAATTATCGGAGAGTATGCCTACTTCATTTGAGTCTAATTTTTCCTTCCACATTTTTCTACTTTAAAGTTATTTCCATCTCTTTTATCATATCCAAATAAGTCTGATCTGTTACCTTAATATTAGTTTTTATTTTAGTGCCTACATTTATCTCCACTCATATATTTCCTTCACTTTTAGTACCAAATGGCTTCTGATCATTTTCCTTCCCTTAAATCCAAACTTATTCCATATAAGTAGGCGGAGGTACCTGAGTACCTCATTCTGTGTTCTAATCAAGTCAGGCCTGAGCATTGAGAATTTACAGATTATTTTGTTGCAGATTTCTTTCTTTTTACTTCTTTATATTACAGTTAAGATATTACATTCATTTTTTGAATCGTGTATGTAAGT